TGACTCCAGAGTATGCAGGGAAACTACACATAGTCAGACAAGTGACACCATAGTACCCAGGGTAAAGCCATTTGGTCAGGCAGGTGATCCCAGAGTACCTGGGGAAACCAATCTGTTCAGGCAGGTGACACAAGTGTACCCAGTGTAAAGCCATATGGTCAGGCAGGTGACCTCAGAGTACCAGGGGAAACCAACCTGTTCATGCAGGTGACACAAGTGTACCCCTGGAAACCCCACATAGTCAGACAAGTAACCCCAGAGTACCAGGGGAAAAGTCATATGGTCAGGCAGGTGATCCCAGAGTAACTGGGGAAACCAACATGTTCAGGCAGGTGACACAAGTGTACCTGTGGAAACCCAAATAATCGGGCAGGTGACCCAGAGTACCCAAGGTAAAGCCATATGGTCAGGCAGGTGATCCTAGAGTACCCAGGGTAAAGCCATATGGTCAGGCAGGTGACCCCAGAGTATCCAGTGTAAAGCCATATGGTCAGGCAGGTGACCCCAGAGTACCCAGGTTAAAGCCATTTGGTCAGGCAGGTGATCCCAGAGTACCTGGGGAAACCAATCTGTTCAGGCAGGTGACACAAGTGTACCCAGTGTAAAGTCATATTGTCAGGTAGGTGACCTCAGAGTACCAGGGGAAATCAACCTGTTCAGGCAGGTGACACAAGTGTACCCGTGGAAACCCCACATAGTCAGGCGGGTGACCCAGAGTACCCAAGATAAAAACCATATGGTCAGGCAGATGACCCCAGAGTACCCAAGGCAAAGCCATATGGACAGGTAGGTGACCTCACAGTACCTGGGGAAACCAAGATGTTCAGGCAGGTGACCCCACAGTACCAGGGGAAACCCCACATAGTCAGACAAGTAACCCCAGAGTACCTTGGGAAAAGTCATATGGTCAAGCAGGTGATCCCAGAGTAACTGGGGAAACCAACATGTTCAGGCAGGTGACACAAGTGTACCTGTGGAAACCCCACATAGTCGGGCAGGTGACCCAGACTACCCATGGTAAAGCCATACGGTCAGGCAGGTGACCCTAGAGTACCCAAGGTAAAGCCATATGGTCAGGCAGGTGACCCCAGAGTATCCAAGGTAAAGCCATATGGTCAGGCAGGTGACCCTAGAGTACCCAGGGTAAAGCCATATGGTCAGGCAGGTGACCCTAGAGTACCCAAGGTAAAGCCATATGGTCAGGCAGGTGACCCCAGAGTATCCAGGGTAAAGCCATATGGTCAGGCAGGTGACCCCAGAGTACCCAAGGTAAAGCCATATGGTCAGGCAGGTGACCCTAGAGTACCCAGGGTAAAGCCATATGGTCAGGCAGGTGACCCTAGAGTACCCAGGGTAAAGCCATATGGTCAGGCAGGTGACCCTAGAGTACCCAGGGTAAAGCCATATGGTCAGGCAGGTGACCCAGCGTACCTGGGGAAAAGCCTTATGATAAGGCAGGTGACCCCTTACTTGTTATTGGTATCAAACCCTTGATGCCAAAGTACAACCTGACTATTACATATCAAGACACGTTACATAAAGATTATGATTGGTCATCCATTAAAACAAACTTGAAAGGTTTTCGTTCCAGCTATAATGGCCAGAAATATTGCTGCTTGGCCTTCTTTGGGCGATTGATTGGTTTATCACATTGTCAACATTCAGTATCATTTTGTGGCAGAATATCACTGTAGAACTAGTAGTGACCTCACTGAAAAATATAGCAGGCCTTTTGTATCACATCCATATAAAGCACAGTAGTACACAAACAGCCAGCTTCCCAAAAAACTATTCTCTGTGATGTTAAATCATAAAGTTGAATTCATTGACCTTTGGAAACTTGATATTTTTCCATCCCAGTATACCACTGGTAAAGTGTATCAACTAGGATTTTCAGTAAGTAATGAACTGTTTGACCCCAGTGACCTTGAAACTTGATGTGGTTTATGTTACTCAATATCAACTTGCTGACAATTTCAAAATGAAAATCTTTTTAAACCAGTGAATAACAAGAGCCCATAGGGCCTGTGTTTATTATCTGGCTTCTAGTTTGCTGAAATTAATTAATTTAAACACAAGGAAAAGTATTTAAAACACTTGTATCCATGTCAACTATTAAACCTCACCCCTCTTCTCAAACGGGGTTTGATGTACTGTTTGAACTAAGTTCTCTTCACCACCAATGTCATCAATTCCAAACAAAGGTTTTAAAGAATTTGTTTTATTTATTGTCTAAAATATTTTGGTCAAACTTTAAGCATAGGTCAATTATGAGTACAGGCCAAGGACCAAAATTAAGCAAACTGATTAAGATTTAAGCAAAAAAACTTCATTGAAAATGGAACTTTAGGCGACTTCACTTTACCATTTTCAATATTTCAAACAATTAAGTTGTTAATAGGTGTTTACATTGAATTGGGACAGACAAGACAGGACTGGACATGACACGATGGGATGGGACCAGGGATGGAATGGGACCAGGTATGGAATTGGACCAGGGATGGGACCAGGGACAGACAATGGGCAATGCTTTATGCCCTCTAATTTTATTGCAGGGGCAAAAAAATATTTGGGGGGGAGAGAAAGTTAAATGGTAAGAAAATAGTGAAACACTTCACTTAACCATAAAAATAACTGACAGGTATATACATGGTGTGTATATTACACATATACAGTCAAACTTTGATGTATTGAAAGTTCAAGGGACTACCAAAAAACCTTTGATACATCAAGATTTCAAAACTACCTGTATAGTACTGTACAGGTAAATGTTTTGTTTGAATCATGAGGTGTCAATGACTAAGTTATCGTAGCTAACTGCATGCAAAAAAATACTTCAATATATCGAAAAGTTTGATTTCTATAGAGTTAAGTTAGTAGTAATATATAGGAACTAAATTCAGGATCGGACAAAAACTTTGATACATTGAGGTAGAATATATCGACGTTTTCAAGTACATGCCTCTAGTTGATGACCCAATATTTCTACCTGAACAAACACAACAAATTCACAACTCAAGTTTAAATGAAAACATGCACATTTATCTTAAAAGAAAACATTTTATTCATGAAATATAAAAAACAAAACTTTAAAAAAGAAATCAATGAGAAATTGACCATGCGTTCTTACTCAGTAGATGTATTTTAAATATTGATTTTAAATGAAATGACCGTGTTTCTCATGCTTGTATACTTATAATGGAAAGTGGCACTTTGGGAATGGATGAAGTCATTATACAAGTGATTGGATTTCCCCCGCTTGTTTCCACCATATCATATATTAGATCTAACTTAATGCCATTACTACAATGGCATCTGTAAACATCACACGGGACGCCATTATCATTGATTAAATATCATGGCATGTAAAAGATTGTTCAAAGGACACACAAGTAAATAGCACCTTTTCATAACTTGGAGTGACATACTGTTGAGCAAATATGGTACGTAAGAAATTAAACATTAATCCATATCAAGTTATTAATTATCCTCGCTCCGCAGAGACAATAATAGCAGGCTATCGTAATCCCATTGTCAGGTAGTACTGTACAGAGACAATAATAGCAGGCTATCGTAATCCCACTGTCAGGTAGTACTGCACAGAGACAATAATAGCAGGCTATCGTAACTGGGAAATCCCACATCACTGTACAGTACTGTACAGAGACAATAATAGCAGGCTATCGTAATCCCATTGTCAGGTAGTACTGTACAGAAACAATAATAGCAGGCTATCGTAACTGGGAAATCCCACATCACTGTACAGTACTGTATAGAGACAATAATAGCAGGCTATCGTAATCCCATTGTCAGGTAGTACTGTACAGAGACAATAATAGCAGGCTATCATAACTGGGTAATCCCACATCACTGTACAGTACTGTACAGAGACAATAATAGCAGGCTATGGTAACTGGGTAATCCCACATCACTGTACAGTACTGTACAGAGAATAATAGCAGGCTATGGTAACTGGGTAATCCCACATCACTGTACAGTACTGTACAGAGACAATAATAGCAGGCTATGGTAACTGGGTAATCCCACATCACTGTACAGTACTGTACAGAGACAATAATAGCAGGCTATGGTAACTGGGTAATCCCACATCACTGTACAGTACTGTACAGAGACAATAATAGCAGGCTATGGTAACTGGGTAATCCCACATCACTGTACAGTACTGTACAGAGACAATAATAGGAGGCTATCATAATCCCATTGTCAGGTAGTACTGTACAGAGGCAATAATAGCAGGCTATCGTAATCCCATTGTCAGGTAGTACTGTACATAGAACTTTGACTGGATGTGTAGGTGCACTCTCTTCAATGACTGAGTAAACTGGCCTATATACTGACACTTTGTTAGCCATAAAGGGCTGGTAGATTATCACAAGTTGTTCCTGGTGTCAGAAGATTACGACATACCTCTAATAATGAGCTTCTGACAATATGTGATGTACATGTATATGTTTATGTTTTGTTATGCTATTGGAAGTGTTTATCAACAATTTTTCAAAACTTATTTCATCATGAATTAAATGAGATATTTTAGACAACAGGTAAAATACTAAACTGGTGAAAAAAGCTGACTTGTCTCACAGTTGAATAGCCTGAAATTATCAAAGGTTCAGTATATAGTATCTTGGGGGATTTTTTATGGTTTCATTTTGTTACACTCTGTACAATTCCAATACTTTGGATGAATTTAATTTCTAACCTTACCAATGTAAGCTTAAATATAGTTCTACATCATATTTTGCATTTTTTGAAGCACTCTGTACCTTGATTGGTTTATTCCAGGAAACTATACAATACCATAGTACTTAGAAAGAATTGATTAAGAGAAGTTGTCTGACAACAGATAGATAGCAGATCCAGCATACTAGTGTATGCTTACATGTCCAAGGGGCAGGCGAGTTAATAGAAAACCATTTAATGAAAAGTGACAAGAACACTGATATAGTAAGAGATTCTATCTAATGGCACCAGTCACTCACCTTTTTATCACCTCCTTTTGGTTTATGTGAAGCATTATCTTTTGAACCAACTTTGGATGTAGCCTTGTCTTTGAAATCTAACTTCCTTGTTTCAATCTGAAAAAAGAGCGAGGTTTTGTTAAAGATAACTGCACAAATACTTCCAATACAATGTGATGATTTTAAGATTATAATTTTGTTTCTGTGTACATCAGCATATATCTGCAGGAAAGACTTAAATCAGAATATTGGACTTTGATTGAGGAAGGATCTTAAAAATGGGGAACAATTAGGATACTGAAAGAAGATTTTAATAATTTCAGTTAATCTGACCCTTTTTGGCCCTAGTCCTCAGGTCACATTAAGTCATCAATAGAAGGTTTTGTTAAAACAGGTTCAGGAATTTCCAGTCAAAAACTGCTAAAATTTAACAATACATAGTGCCAGAAAGACATTGTTACAACAGGTTATCACAGGACATTGTCTCAGGTGGCATAAAAATACAGTCTGTTCATTTACATACTCTTTTGTCCCCGCCACCAGCTTTGTGATCTATATTATCTTTAGATCCCACTTTTGATGCAGCCTTCTCCTTAAAGTCTAATTTGGCTGTCTCAATCTGCAACACAAACAACACTGCAGGTTACACATAACTAGTTATTTACTAGTTATATAACTAAAACACAAACCATACGAGTTATATATAACAAAAACACAAACCATTTTGCTTATACATAATTAAAACACAAACCATTTTGGTTATACATAATTAAAACACAAACCATGCTAGTTATATATAACTAAAACACAAACAATACTAGTTATATATAACTAAAACACAAACCATGCTAGTTATATGTAACTAAAACACAAACCATACTGGTTATATATAACTAAAACACAAACCATACTAGTTATATATAACTAAAACACAAACCATACTAGTTATATATAACTAATACACAAACCATACGAGTTATATATAACTAAAACACAAACCATACTGGTTATATATAACTAAAACACAAACCATGCTAGTTATATATAACTAAAACACAAACCATGCTGGTTATATATAAATAAAACACAAACAATACTGGTTATATATAACTAAAACACAAACCATGCTGGTTATATATAACTAAAACACAAACCATACTGTTTATATATAACTAAAACACAGGGTTTGACCTGTTAATGTTTTGTCTACTTCATAAACTGGATTTAATGTCCTGTTTACAACGTTTGTCTGCAAGACCAAAGGCAATTAGCTCACTAATAAAAAAGTACATATGTATATGTAACGAAAAGGTACAGAACTCCACAATCAACTTTTTAGGGCATGTCAGTTCAAACCCTCTGTAACACGAAAACGTGAATACTTTTTCATCAAAACCAGGTATGGATCTGGTCAGTTACTTCTCTTCACTGCCAAAATTAGGAATTCTTTAATGAATTGGGTTACAAGCCTGTGTCCGACCAACCAAAATCATGATATTTTCTGCGTATTGTGGTCAGATATGGGTATTTTCTGTGAAGTTACAGACCATATCAATACCTGTTTTGGAAGATAAAATGTTCATCATTACGAGATATGAACACTAACTTATGCGTATGCACTGTATATCGTGAGAGGCAACTAATGTGGGAACCCCTGCATTGTGAACTCAGATCCTTCACTGATCATATTTCAATTTTGGCTGTGGTAATGAAAGTTTGCCCAGGTGATGAATCCAACAGCAAGGTCCTGATGATTTTAGTGTATATTCCCTGTTAAAAGTTTAGCATTTAGTGTAAACGCAGCACCTGGCTAAGTCATTGTCATCATAACTTGACCAAGTGGAACACTGTGTCGGGTGTCTTTGCATAGTACTTATAAGTGAGATATTACTACAACATACTGCCTCCATCACACATACAACCATACAAGCATACTCTACATCTACACATTACTTCGGCTGTTAAAAGGAAGTTAAATACACAGCCACAAAACAGGTTTTTTTTTAACATTTAGATAAGTAAATGATGGTTTAATGATACATAAAAAATGTGGTTCACAATTCACTTCTTGTGACATCACTTTGTTATTAATTGTATCATGTGACTGATGCCTAGGATTCATTTTGTCTGTAATTTATCCTAGTCATATTGTATACTTTGTATAGTCACTAAAGAGATAGCTAGCTAACTTGTAATCATGAAATATCTTTAACCATAATAACGAGATAGCACAAGTCATCATGACGAGATAGTGTAACTCATAATAACAAGATAACTTTTTTCTTTATGTAGTACTAATTCACTTTCATACCATTAATATCCCATTTTTATGTCATGGGGCCTAAGACCAACCATTCCTACAAAATTGTTTTCCCTGAAATTCCCTCCAGGAAGCTTCTAAAGAAATCTGGAGAAAAGGAATACCTGTAGCCCAACAGAAGAAGTACTCAGTATGAAGAATATACTTTTAACGGTAAATTTATATCTTGCTATAATATTTGATGAAAACGAGCCTACAATTACAGGAGTTTTCTCTATTTTCAGAATCATGAATAAAATAACTACATCCTAAGCAGCTTACATTGCACTTTAGTGTAATTTTATATTATTCTGCTGAAGTTATAAAATATCCCATTCTATTTTACATAACACACAAAGACACATTCATACACATTGAAGGAACATCAGGAAAATCAGCATACTTTAACATCGCCACCTCCGGGAGAATGCTTCATATTATCCAATGACCCGATTCTTGACTCTCGTTTCCAGGCAACCTTTTCATTCGTTATCTAGTGTAAATAAAAGACAAAAAAAAAATAGACAAAGTGTCTGATGTTGTTATTTGATATGTTGTTTTTTTAATCCATTTGATGATAGTCACATTGTTTGCAAATGGAGATCTCTTAAATAATTGGAAATTCCATTCAACATAGATGTGCCATAATTGATATATTTTTTGTGTATAATGATTTTCAGAGGCTGTATATGATTTGATTGATGGAAATTAAGTAAAACGTGAATACTTGCCATTCTTAATTGATTTTCAACACTAACTTTTCAAATTTTTTCAAACTACTTTCAAATGGTGACTGTTCTGTACTTTTTTGTTCGATACACTTTATACATATTCTATATTCAAAGTAAAAACTGTTATAAAAACAGACTATGCTATGGTTTATGAAATATACAGGAGTTTTAACTATAAAGAAAGGTGACACAGATTATAATGTTTTATACATAGAAGGTATAAATGGATTATAAGGTGTTTCCAAGTGAAAGGGAGTGTACAAGATATTTCTATAGTGAGTTGTGAGGTGAGCTTTGCAGGCAGAGGTTGTATGGAGACACAATTCTGGGATAGGGCCTGATATACAGGGATGGTTTGGGTTGTTGCCCAGAAAACCCAATGCTAGACGATATGTCCGAGGCTGTGGAGGATACATTAGACTTAATTAGTCTTTGCTCTATAGGCTGACTAAATGGCCATGATATAAGTTAATGTCAGGCTGGATTGCTGTGGCAATGTTGTGGTATTGTGCAAGCTCCTGAGAATATATTGGTACTGGGCTGGATAGCTGTGGCAATGTTGTGGTATTGTGCAAGCTCCTGAGAATATATTGGTACTGGGCTGGATAGCTGTGGCAGTGTTGTGTTGTGCAAGCTCCTGAGAATATATTGGTACTGGGCTGGATTGCTGTGGCAGTGTTGTGTTGTGCAAGCTCCTGAGAATATACTGGTACTGGGCTAGATTGCTGTGGCAGTGTTGTGATGTGCAAGCTCCTGAGAATATATTGGTACTGGGCTGGATTGCTGTGGCAGTGTTGTGTTGTGCAAGCTCCTGAGAATATACTGGTACTGGGCTGGATTGCTATGGCAGTGTTGTGATGTGCAAGCTCCTGAGAATATATTGGTACTGGGCTGGATTGCTGTGGCAGTGTTGTGTTGTGCAAGCTCCTGAGAATATACTGGTACTGGGCTGGATTGCTGTGGCAGTGTGGTATTGTGCAAGCTCCTGAGAATATATTGATACTGGGCTGGATTGCTGTGGCAGTGTTGTGATGTGCAAGCTCCACAGTATATATTGGTACTGGGCTGGATTGCTGTGGCAGTGTTGTGGTATTGTGCAAGCTCCTGAGAATATATTGGTACTGGGCTGGATTGCTGTGGCAGTGTTGTGGTATTGTGCAAGCTCCTGAGAATATATTGGTACTGGGCTGGATTGCTGTGGCAGTGTTGTGTTGTGCAAGCTCCTGAGGGATTGCTGTGGCAGTGTTGTGATGTGCAAGCTCCTGAGAATATATTGGTACTGGGCTGGATTGCTGTGGCAGTGTTGTGTTGTGCAAGCTCCTGAGGGATTGCTGTGGCAGTGTTGTGATGTGCAAGCTCCTGAGAATATATTGGTACTGGGCTGGATTGCTGTGGCAGTGTTGTGTTGTGCAAGCTCCTGAGGGATTGCTGTGGCAGTGTTGTGTTGTGCAAGCTCCTGAGAATATATTGGTACTGGGCTGGATTGCTGTGGCAGTGTCATGGTAATACATAAACCATGTGTACAGGTAAGCACTGGATTGGATAGCTGTGGCACTGTTGAAAAAAGTCCTGCTACCCGATGCTGAGCTGTTTGGTAACATTGATGGAAATAATGCACAACTTCTGGTAAAGGGACGTAACTCATGAAACCTACAGTACATGTAACTGACCTACGGCTTGGCTGGACAGTTGTTTCTATGATGAAAGTGGAAAAACAGAGAGAGAAGGATTTTTTAAATATTTTACCAAAGGGAAACAGACCTTTGATTCATACAAAATTAAATCACCTGAAACCAACAATGTTACTGGCCAAAATTTTTTCTTTTTCCTTTTTCATACCTAATTCTGCCAATCTGGCCCCAAGGGGTCTGATCCTTCATTTGTACAAAATTGAGCCCCTATAACTAGAAATGCTTCAGATCAAACTTGCACAAAAGTGTATCATTCAAACAGAAGAAGGATTAAAAAGTATTTGCTCTATTTCCATTGTTGGGTCCTCCTCTCAAATCAAGGGGGCAGAAAGTCACAGACTTCAGGACCTGTATCCTTGGCTTCATGTATAATAAAATATAAATAAAATTCATATTTTTTGCATACTTATGATATATTAATCTAACAAGTACTTTATGTTCCATAACAAACTAGAGTTACCTCCCCTTACCTGCTTTAGCCCAGATGATGGCTATAATGTATTGCAGATTTAGAGTGACTTACATAGGCATTGCCTGTTGTCTGATCCTGTTAACATATGAAAACTTAACAACCAGGAGAGCAGGAGGCCAGGACACAATGTTAACACAAAATTTATGTCCTTTTATTGAAAATAGTTCAGGCAAAATTAGGACAAGATCCAATCGTTCTTACGAAAAAGGAAGGATATTTGAAAAAATAAATGCTAAATTTTCTCTTTTCGGCCCAGTCCCTCAAGCCCTTGGGGATGGGTGGGGTTCACATAGTACACAAATGACACACAAGTTAATAAGTTAATAGCACATTTAAATACAAATACAATAAAGTCAAACAATGAATTAATCAACATACAGCTGTTTCTTCATTCTAGGACATGTTAGTGATGTTACATCATACAGCTGTTTCTTCATTCTACGACATGTGATGCAAAGTGTCTAAATTTTTAAGCACAAGAAGCGACTGAGGATAATCCAATGACCGAAAGAAATGTTAAACCTAGATGGGGAGGTGCAACAGCCACACGATTAAATAAATTTCATGACTTTCATATATCAGACATTCTCAGAGCAATGTTTAGTCCATGATAAATTCTAAACCGTGCAACTTCTCTAATGAATATGGCAGACCTAACATTTATATAACATTGAATCCCTTTCCAATAAAATTTGGTCAAATTAATGTCATCAATAACTAGCAGTGTTTTAAACTAATTGATGAGATATTCTAAACCTATAATACAGTTTATCTCAACCTCTGATAGGATCATTCAGACTTAAAATACAAGTTCTGATCATTTAATCCAGGCCTGTCCTGTATATAAAACCTCTGATCAGGTTGTCCACACCTGTTACACAGTCGGTCTAAATCTCTGTTGAGGCCGTCAAACCTGTTACACAGTCTGTCTAAATCTCTGTTGAGGTCGTCAAACCTGTGTCACAGTCTGTCTAAATCTCTGTTGAGGTTGTCAAACTTGTGTCACAGTCTGTCTAAATCTCTGTTGAGGACGTCAAACTTGTGTCACAGTCTGTCTAAATCTCTGTTGAGGTCGTCAAACCTGTGTCACAGTCTGTCTAAATCTCTGTTGAGGTTGTCAAACTTGTGTCACAGCCTGTCTAAATCTCTGTTGAGGACGTCAAACTTGTGTCACAGTCTGTCTAAATCTCTGTTGAGGTCGTCAAACCTGTGTCACAGTCTGTCTAAATCTCTGTTGAGGTTGTCAAACTTGTGTCACAGTCTGTCTAAATCTCTGTTGAGGACATCAAACTTGTGTCACACTCTGTCTAAATCTCTGTTGAGGTCGTCAAACTTGTGTCACAGTCTGTCTAAATCTCTGTTGAGGACGTCAAACCTGTGACACGGTCGGTCTAAATCTCTGTTGAGGCCATCAAACCTGTGACACAGTCTGTCTAAATCTCTGTTGAGGCCGTCAAACCTGTGACACGGTCGGTCTAAATCTCTTGAGGCCATCAAACCTGTGACACAGTTTGTCTCGATCTCTGAACAGATATTCCAAGCCTGATATAATGCAATCTGTGACACAGTCTGTCTTAATCTCTGAACAGATATTCCAAGCCTGATATAATGCAATCTGTGACACAGTCTGTCTTAATCTCTGAACAGATATTCCAAGCCTGATATAATGCAATCTGTGACACAGTCTGTCTTAATCTCTGAACAGATATTCCAAGCCTGATATAATGCAATCTGTGACACAGTCTGTCTTAATCTCTGAACAGATATTCCAAGCCTGATATAATGCAATCTGTGACACAGTCTGTCTCGATCTCTAAACAGATATTCCAAGCCTGATATAATGCAATCTGTCTTCACATCTGACGAATTAACCCAGCTCTATAATACATTTTCTCTCAATCTTCTATCAAATTATCTAGGCGTAAATATATATGCTAAAGCATTTGAATTCCGATGACCAGATTTCAAAAATGGATGTAAGTGGTGCCTACTTTGACTTTACCGCCACCTGGTGCATGTTTTGCATTGTCAAGGGAGCCAACCCTGGATTCAGCTTTCCACTCAAGTTTCTGGGACAAAATCTAGAAAGGAAAGAAAAGAGTGATTAAAAAACAATAAATCTGAATATTCTATCACAAACATTTGGAGAAAAACCAGTTGTTATATCTACCAACAAAGAAGACGCTCAATTTAATCTGAAACTTCAATGGATTCACATATTATTGCATAGACAGTGTATATTACTCCAGACTTTGGCATTGCATGGCCATATAACCAAGTCAATCTATGCTAAAAAAGTTAAAACTTTAATTGCAACAGAATTTAGTTCATGTTTTTTATTGTACATATATATTTAGTATATACCGTATCAAAGGTCTAGAAGAATCCAAATACGACAAGTCCTCAAAATTTCAATTCTTTCAACACCTTGTGGCATTTTTTTCTACTATTTCATATTTTCCTTGCTTTGAAGAATTTCCTTAAAGTTGAGTAAAAGCACAGCAGAAGACTTAATTTCATTTAGTAAATGAAAATACAAAAATGTGGAATGATCCAACATCCAAAAGGTACAGCAGGTTGTTACATGTATTAGTAGAGAACCCAAGGTGGATACCGAGGTATTCTAACAGGGCTCCATAATAGAGATAATAGGTATTAACACGTGGAAAAAGGACGGAGCATCAACACCAAGGATTCTGTTGTTGTTTAGATTGGTTGTTTCATTTATTGATTGTTATAATTACGTGATATACAATGGTTTGGAAGTTACACTAGACATTAATAAATCAATTGGCACAAAAAGTCATTACATGTAGAAATAAAATGGTGAACAGAGCAGTTTCAATTGACAGTGTTTATGGAATTTTTGATTCCACAAAACAATAATTAACACAGTGCCATTATGTTCTTAACATTTAAATTTCATTCTGTAAATAGAAAGCATTGACACTGATTATTGATTATCATCTCAAATATCAGTTCAACATTTTCATTTTTGGATAAGGTAAATGTTACAAGCAGAACCAGAAATGACAAATACCTCTAACACACCCCCCCCCCCCCCCAAAACGCATACCCCACCCCCTCCTCTACTGCACATGTTTGTAAAAAATTTCAGGGAAGCCCATGGAAAACAAATTGTGAACCAATATGAGGAAGTCAACACACAAATATGGAGGAATTATGTGTATGATAATTCATTGAGTTGGTCTGTTTGTATAAATATAATTTAATCTTATATGAGACAAGCACTTTTCTAGGCCAATTGTTCACCCAGTAACATAAAATGTCACATTTGATTTGCTAGTGCAGTGGTGTAAGAAATTTTCAAAGAAAAGAATTCTTCATAAATGTTAAAAGTAATGCGAGGAGATACAAGTTTGTGAAAAGGTGAAAAAACTAAACCTGATAAAGATTACACACATCTAAAATGTATGAGGATTATTGCCAGCAGGTTTCGTTAAAATCAACAGAGTGGTTTAGTAGAAGCTGGTACATTGCTGAGTTCCTAAAGGGGCATAAGTTGCTGAAAAGGGGAGATAACTCAATCCCAAAGGGGCATAAGTTTCCAGAAAGGGGAAATAACTCAACTTGATACACTTTTGTAATGTGAAAAGATTTTACTTTTGGCAGACATATTGCATTATATTTTTCAAATTAGGTACCGGAAATGGACTTTTTCAATTTTCGAAACAGATAAAAGTCTGATCGAGTGAAATCATGCTAATAAGGTGGATGCTCAATCAATTCAAAGTCACAATCGTTAATGGCAGCCCTGACAGTGACAGACTTGTGAACACATTGTCCTGGTGGAACTTTACGGAGTTTTCTGCTGACTTTTATATTTCCTATTAACTGCCTAAGAAGTGATGCATAAAATGTGCCATAGACTGTATGTCACTTTTGCAGATAATCTATAACCAGAATACCATTAGTATCCCAGAAAACCAAGGTCATAACCTTTCCAGCTGGTGGAACAGTCTTTGGCTTCTTGGCGGGGGTGAGCCAGGGTACTTCCATTGTTTAGACTGTTATTTGGGCTCTGGGGTGAAATGATGGTCCAACATTTCATCTATAGTCACAAAACTCTGTAGAAAGTTAGCAGGATCTGCCTCTAAAAGGCTCAGATTAGCACCTGAAAAAGTCCACCTGGTGTGCTTCTTTCTGATCAACTGTCAGAAGTCTTGGCACCCAACGGTCTGAGAGCTTTCTCATTGCAAGATCTTCCTTGTGAATGGAATGCAATCTTTCTTGTGAAATCCCAACTGTGCTGGCTATATATCTGTCTGTTACTCGCCATAACAATATTATGGTCTTTATTGACCATCTCTGGGGTCGCAACAGTGACAGGCCTTCCAGGATGGGTGTTATTCCAACACCCACCTTTTTTACTGTAGCATACAAGGTTCATAACTTATCAATCAGCCCTCATACATTTCCATTGGGGCATAATGATAATTTTCTGAAAAGTGACCTGATATTGATTATGCACATCTACAATGTATAAGGATTATAGTCATCAATTATCGTCTACAGACATACGGATGGACAGACAACCAAGCTGATTCCAGTATACCCACATTAACTTCATGTTGCCAGGGGTTATGATAATATTAAAACCTAAATATTTCTATTTTTAGCCTAAAGGTAACTGTTTCAGTGTTTTGTCAGTCTTTGGTACCAGCTGTTACTCTCCAGCCTTACTTTCTGACTGGTGGACTGATTTACCAGTGACCAGTATTGCAAACTCATCTGATTTCCCTGATATTTAGACTGCCATGAATGACTCCTCCATTATCAAATGACCAACCTTTTTCATTCCTAACGACTTGCTCTGGAATACCTCTAGTTTTTGCTACTATTAATTCCTATTCATTTGGATATCAGTATTCTCAGTAAACCAGACGTTTGTTGTCTGTACATCTATACATGACATGATCAAGCATCCGAGTGAGCGAGACAAGAGTATTAGACATTGCGTAATGAGGAGGAACAGAGAGACTATGAATTATGGAAAAGCCATTTGGAGTAAGTGTAGTATTATAACTTATGCATTCCATTGTGGTGAACAAACATGATGAGATATTTGGTGAAAATAATCATTTAAGCTAATGTCTAAAACACCCTTCATTCCTTGAATATTGTATTTATTGTGTTTCTAACTTATTCATAGTGTTTTTTTTTTAACTAGTTTATCCTTTGGGACAATCTCTGTATTTTCCCCAAGTAAGATACTAATTGCATTTGATTTGGATTTGAAATTTGGGGAATTTTACCCACAATTTATATGTATGTTAACCTTTTTACATTAATTAAGACTTGCTACAGATTTATGTGTCTGCAGGGGATCGTCCCTTTCAGTCATGTATATACCATTTTTTTCATGTATCATGTATATTATTGATAGTAGTTAGGTTAGAGGTCGTGGGGAGTTGGATTAGCCAGTCATATACGTAGTGTATAGTCAAGTTAGGCAAGTTGGAGATCAATTATCTCTATTCTAAACATAACAGGGTCGCCTGTTTCTGGCTACATACTCCACACCTTGGGATCGCAGTAAAGCTTTTTTTGGTCATCAACTAACTCTTGTACAAGTCACTGGATTGGGATCGCCTGAGCACAGGGGTCAAGCCAATCTTCTATTTTACTTATAGTTTAATAGTTTGTTTTGTTTAAGTTTGATTTTATCATATGAATACTCCTTATTGGAATATGTTATCTTCTACTCCATGTCTAAATAAGTGATTTCACCTAATCATTTTTCACCAAAATTCAATTTTGGAATCTTATGCAGATAAACATTTAATCAGTAAGTTAGAATATATTTGTAAAAAGGTATCTTCTTTATATACATTGTCTCCTACCCCAACCATGTTTATTTTCAAACCAGAGAATTAATCTGGTAAAAAGGTATTTTCCCTACTATGTGGTTTCCTACCCTGACCAGAGATTCTTGTAATAATATTCACCGAGAAGTAAGAATTGGACTCATATTTACCCCTATACCTTTACTATACTATACCTATACATTTCTTTTCATCTCTTAACCATATGCCTAGTATTCCAACAAATGCCTCAATTAATCAAAAGTACTTAAAAAAGTTACCCCCCTTTATGATAATTATAATTGAACTGAGACTGGTGTGCAGCAGTAACAGCCCAAAATACATTCTGTTTGGTTATCATTAATTTATCCTAGATCGTTTTGGTTCTACCTGTTTTATATACTGGATCCTGAAACTTGTATACAATATTCAAGAAAGATATGGGAATCCAGGTTTTGATATATTGTCTATAATAAACTATTTCACAATCTGGTAAAGTTTGTAACTGTTATAGAATTTCTATAATAAGGTCTGACATTTCTCGCTGTGTACAAGATGTTAAAAATTTTGTTTATTTTGCCCCTTTGGATGCCTCTCCCTTGGCCCCATGATCCATTCCCAAATTTCACAATTGTAAACTACATTGCCCCAAGGATGCTTGTGGTTCAATTTGGTATAATCCACTTTGTCGTTTTTAAACAGATATTGAAAATGTTTATGGACCTTGGTGATTATGGTGAATGCTGGGGGCCCATTGATGACAGACAATGACTATAGACTAATTTGTGGTGATACAGAGGCAAATACTCTGACTTGTTACCTTTTTGTCCCCGCCTTTAGGTCGGTGGTCTAGGTTAGCCTTCGACCCAATTCTGCCTTGCACTGTAGAGAAGTCTACTTTCTGATTGGATATTTTTACCTGTAAAATACATCATTTTGCTTTTCACATGCACATCTCATATCGCTGACCTACAAATTGGTTCGAAATAAAATTTATTTATACCAATTTTAAAAATAAGCATACAAACACTCATGGTCGAATGTTATTCATTCACAACTGATGGATGTTTTACAATAACTGTTGAAATCAAAGATAGTCACCTATCATCAAAGTCATTTTTCAGTCTCAAAACAAAGTTGTAGCCAGCCAAAACCAAGGGGAACAAACATGAAATCTGAAAATAATTCATCTAGTACTACTCAACTATTCAGTCATTTAACAAAGCATTTCAATATGAGAAATAATTTCTGAAATAATTTCCCTACTGGGTTCCAGCTTTGTGGTCAAACAGAAGTCGGATTCAACATTCATGTAAATCGCTTCAGATCTAACTTGGACAATAACTATGTATGGAAGAAGGATATTACAGAAGTTACAATTCTCCTATTGGGCCACATCTCAGAAATCTGACTCCTGATTACAAAATTACCAGGTAGGTTCCTTTCAACAAGTTATGTTTCAGACCAATTAGGACAGAATCAAGACATTCCCACAAGAGAAGAATTAGAGAGGATTTCTTCCCATTCCATCCAAAGGGAGCGGAGACCCATTGTTTATAAAAAAACAAATTATTCCCCTTATATATCCAAGAATGCTTCTGACCAAAATTTGGGTAAAATCCAATCATTCCTACAGGAGGGATAGGATATTGGATAATCTATTCTATTTCCCCAATTGGGCCCCACCCCTCTCACCCTAAAACCCACCATTTATGCAAAATTGATTCCCCCTTCACCCATATAGCTTCAGACTAAATTAGAATAGCATTCTGATATTTCTACAGAAGATGATGGATTTTTAAGAGTTATGTCTATTTTCCCTATTAGGCCCTGCCCCTTCAAACCTAGGGGGTTAAGACTTAAAATAAAATTATGATTAATATCTCTTCACCCAAGAATGCTTCAGACCCAATTTGGACAAATTCAAATCATTCCTGCGGGAGGAAAAGTTGGGGGTGGGGGGGATCCCAAAGACCTCAAACTTGATTCTCCTTCATTCAAGAATGCTTTAGACTGAATATGAGAAAAATACAATCATTTCTATAAGAGGGGATTTTAAATGATTTACTGATAATTCCCCTATTGGATCCTAACCATTCCTCCCAAGGATGCTGAGACCCAATGTCATATAAAATTAATTTCCCTTCATCCAAGATTGCTTCAGACCAAATTTAGGCAAAATCCAAAAATTCCTACTGGAGGAATACGATTTTGAAAAAATTTTCCCTATTTTCCCTTTAGGGTCCAGTCCCACACACCCCAAGGGGTTGAGCCCGTTTTTACATAACATTAATTCCTCTTCACCAAAGAATGCTTCAGACAAAATTTGGGCAAAATTTAATAATTCCTACAAGATGTGTAGGAGTTTAAATAATTAAGTTTATTTCCCTTACCAAGCCCCGCCAACCCTCGCAAGGGGCTGAAACCTGCCGATTATACAAAATTGATTCCCAATCATTGAAGAATGCTTCAGATCAAATTTGGTCAAAATCCGCTCAGTCATTCATAAATGCAGCAATTTATGGAAAAAATTGATGAATTGACATACAGATGGACAGATGGATGAACGGTTGGACGGTAGGACAACAGATACTATTTTTTGAAAGATAAACATAAAAATCTCATTAATGCTGGATTTTTTAGGAGATAAACAAACTTGGCGTAAACAAATGTGACATGATAACTTGCTGAAGGAAAGTAACAACTCACTTTCAATACAAACATGCTATTATGGTACTAAGTGTTACATACATTGCCACCCCCTGGAGTATGGGTAGTGTTTGCTAGTGACCCAATTTTAGACTGGACACGCTTGGTATCTGGTGTTGGTACTCTCGGTGATTTTGCTACAATAACAAAACAAAATAATCATAATTTATAACGTGTATCAGTAACAACAAACAATACATATCTACCTCACACTACACACATTGCTGTTACGTCATAATTTATAACGTGTATAAGTAACAACAAACGATACATATCTACCTCACACTACACACATTGCTGTTACGTCATAATTTATAACGTGTATAAGTAACAACAAACGATACATATCTACCTCACACTACACACATTGCTGTTACGTCATAATTTATAACGTGTATAAGTAACAACAAACGATACATATCTACCTCACACTACACACATTGCTGTTACGTCATAATTTATAACGTGTATAAGTAACAACAAACGATACATATCTACCTCACACTACACACATTGCTGTTACGTCATAATTTATAACGTGTATAAGTAACAACAAACGATACATATCTACCTCACACTACACACATTGCTGTTACGTCATAATTTATAACGTGTATAAGTAACAACAAACGATACATATCTACCTCACACTACACACATTGCTGTTACGTCATAATTTATAACGTGTATAAGTAACAACAAACGATACATATCTACCTCACACTACACACATTGCTGTTACGTCATAATTTATAACGTGTATAAGTAACAACAAACGATACATATCTACCTCACACTACACACATTGCTGTTACGTCATAATTTATAACGTGTATAAGTAACAACAAACGATACATATCTACCTCACACTACACACATTGCTGTTACGTCATAATTTATAACGTGTATAAGTAACAACAAACGATACATATCTACCTCACACTACACACATTGCTGTTACGTCATAATTTATAACGTGTATAAGTAACAACAAACGATACATATCTACCTCACACTACACACATTGCTGTTACGTCATAATTTATAACGTGTATAAGTAACAACAAACGATACATATCTACCTCACACTACACACATTGCTGTTACGTCATAATTTATAACGTGTATAAGTAACAACAAACGATACATATCTACCTCACACTACACACATTGCTGTTACGTCATAATTTATAACGTGTATAAGTAACAACAAACGATACATATCTACCTCACACTACACACATTGCTGTTACGTCATAATTTATAACGTGTATAAGTAACAACAAACGATACATATCTACCTCACACTACACACATTGCTGTTACGTCATAATTTATAACGTGTATAAGTAACAACAAACGATACATATCTACCTCACACTACACACATTGCTGTTACGTCATAATTTATAACGTGTATAAGTAACAACAAACGATACATATCTACCTCACACTACACACATTGCTGTTACGTCATAATTTATAACGTGTATAAGTAACAACAAACAATACATATCTACCTCACACTACACACATTGCTGTTACGTCATAATTTATAACGTGTATAAGTAACAACAAACGATACATATCTACCTCACACTACACACATTGCTGTTACGTCATAATTTATAACGTGTATAAGTAACAACAAACGATACATATCTACCTCACACTACACACATTGCTGTTACGTCATAATTTTAATTTAAATCCAAGAAAGTGAAATAAACCATAATTTAGTCATCAATCAGTTAGCATTACAAAGAAGTCATCTTCTAACAATTTTTTTTTTGGAAAAAGTTCTGTACAAGTTGACCAATGAAATCAATGATAACTAAACAGAAATGAAAATAACACCCTACCTATCATCATGTCTTATAATGTTTTGTTGCCAAAAGAAAATGGACACTTCACATCAACAATGTAATCCAGACGTCCATTGCTGTCAGTAAACATGTCTACCCTAAGACATAAGCAACTATGTGTACTAAAATACCTCACAAATATATAATCCAATTACACATGCTCTCAATGACTGTAAGTCTACTGATCCCATATTGTATTGATAAGCGAGACAGATAAGACACAAAAGGATACTTGATGTGTAACAGACAAATTAAACCTTAATGTGTATCAATAGACAGCTGTCTTGTATGGCCTGTAAATAAACACTGGGAAAATCAAACCTGCCCAGTGATATATTTACTCAGTAATTATCTTCATGTAGTGAATACCACCCACAAATTTAATAATATAATTTGTTTTTAACAAACAAAACACTATGCCTCACTGGTCTGTTTCATTAACATGAAGAGCTGAAGTTAGGGACTATTTTTAATGATTTGATATCTAAAAATGCTGCAATAATATGTGTTCATCAAGTGTCTGTCTCTTTTGGTAAACAGATGACCACACAGGCATGCATGGCCCCCTTGGTCTTTGCCTGTTTATTATGATGAATATCCATATTTAGAAAGTGGAAGGAGGTAATCAGTGTCATTATCAGTGACAGGCGAGCTTTTCACCTAATATGTCTTACAAATGACATGCCTACTTTCATTTACATATGTTCAAAACCATCGTCAAATTTACCTCTGTATTTGGTGTAAAGTAATGATGTTATGACAGAGCATAAAATCAAAGTACTGGAAGTACTGAGGACTTAAAAGGCAGAAAAGATTTTAACAGTGATTGATGAGGATGTTGGATACACTATAAATGTTTACATATCAATTAAAACAGGGGAAAATTAAATTGTATTACTTCAAATAGTGTTGCTGAATATCTGGAAGATGTAATAAATATTCATCATATCACAAAAATGAACTATTGTTCATCCATTGACAATTACTTGGACTATACAGTGCAATAGTGATGTTAGCATTAAAAACAAATTAGCCCCGTTATTTTGATCCCAGGATACTGAGTGGAACTTTTATGAAATGTGTTGTCCACAATATATCAATGACTATGTAGAAAATATGTTTCTGTATCAAGTTTTCTCATATCATGGAGAAAGGTTAAAGGGTCTCTTTTTGAAGTTACATCACTTGATCACAGTGTTGATGCAATACCAGAACACTTGACAATAGCAACTTCCTAGGTTAAGTGAGTCTTTTGTTCATTATACATCCCCTAATGTCTGGTTACTTTTCACATCTTAAACTTCTTCTCAAGAACTGTTGAGCCGATTTAAATCGAACATAGTTACTAGCATCAAAACTTGTGTTTCCCAATCTTCACAGTAAAAACAGAGCAAAACTTGTTTTTAGAAAAATCTTTTCTCCCAGGAGACAAACATTATTAAATACGAAATAGGGTTATGTCAAGGAGCAGCTCTAGTAAAACACAAAGCTGAAAATTTTGTTCCCTGGATGTATGATTTAGCCTCCAGCACAGGAGGAATTTTTGGACAAGCCAAAATTCTGAAACAGCAAAAAGAGATTCCAACTTGTTTGAAAACAGACAACTCTAATACATTTGAAAGTTTTAGAAATGAAGCAAATATTTTGTTTGCAAAGTTGTAAGAGTGATCAAATGTGAAAGGTTGGCAATATTTTTCTCTAAGATCTTCAACTTTTTGTATTATAAAACAGTTGTAGGGACCTGTGTCAAAGGTCATTGAGACACTAAAGTAATTAAGCCGCCGATTACTATCTCTGAAACCCTCACTTTCAAGTCTAAATCAAACATAAGAAATTTACATGCTATTGGCCTTTGAACACGCTAAATTACAAGTAATTTTCTAGCTGATAATGCCAAGGTAATCTGCACTGACTTTTAGTAAATTATAACGTAGCATACTGACTGCCAATCAATAAAGTATGTAAACAGATGTGTAATACAGAGAAATGTTTGTATGTCCAGCAACTTTCCAACAATTTGACTTCTAAACATCGATGTCTGTTGTTGGTCATGCTAGAGGACTAAAAAAGCTAAATGAGTACACATACATATATATGTATGTAATCTTGCAGCCATTCCATGTCACTTCGAAATTCACCAAAAATTTCAATCCCAGATCCCACTTTGGTTGAGAGACATATAGACCCTAGTGTTACAGGTATTTAGTACCTTATAACATTTTTAGCATAACAGTGTATGTCTGTATGAATTATACATCCTTCTTAAACCTGTTTTGTGTGGAGATTTTTGTTACATGGTATCAGGCCTATGTAGTCAATAAACTAGTGGGTTATTTAGGATTTGTACCAATAACTCATGATAAACCATATACATTGAACGTGCATTAAAATTGCTATTTAGTAGATAAACACTTTTTATATTGACTACTCTCTCCTTCACAACAAACATACTCTTGGTGATTCACTGAGATAATCTACCGATATCTACAGAAATATGTTCAATAACAATTTACATGAGTCTTCCATTACAACTGTATTGATAATAAGGCCCTGAATATTTCCGGTGTCAAACAATTTAGAATTCTGTGATGATGACTTGCTTGTTTGATTTCACAACATCTGTCATCGTTAACAATTCATGTTACTTTGTATTTGTTTACAAAACTGTAAGTTTTTCCATTTAATTTAGACAAGACTTCTATACATTTGTTGTTTTAACCTTGTGAAATAGAGCAATGAGCACAAAATAAAGAGAATTCTGCACTTTATGAAATCCTTCGCATCGGAATTCCACTTCTTAGTATTTAATTGTTTCATATACTATCTAAACAACTTAGGCATCAGCCAACTGATATTGGTTCATATGCTCCGTAAAATGTAATTGCCCATTGTTTTATTTCTTCATTTTTTCTCTCATTGAATTTTAAGTAAAATATTATCCTGATGAGCAATTGTATTTCAAAAATCTTCTCCAAACTGAGAAACTAACTGCAGAGTAAAACAAGAGGTCAAAGGGGCCTGCATTGCTGACCTGGCTAGTTTAGCTATTCAGCCATTTAATGAAGAATTTCAAATATGAAAAATAATTTCTGATATAATTTCCCTATTGGGTCCTGACCTTGGGTCAAACAGAAGTCAGATTTACTATATATAACAAAAGGCCCAAAGGCCTTAATGTAGACCTGAGCTATTTTTTGCATTTAACCGATGAAAAGCACAAATTTAACAAAACTGCCTTGTCCAACATCTAGTATACATATTAAAGCTTGCACAGTAATGTTCGCAGTAAGTGTCTTTTTACAGGGCATTGCAAAAATTCAAACAAATCAAACTGTTAAGGCCCTGCACTCAAGTTTTCAAAACATTAAACCTCCTTGACAATGAAATTTCAACCTTTTTGTAATTTCCACTGAAAATAAATGAAAATACTCAAACAGATCATCCCTCTGACCTTGAAAGCTTCGAAAAAAGACTTTGTAGCCCTTAATACCAGCATGCTACATTGCCCAATATCTGACCTCTGGGCTTTTTGGTTATTGAGAAAAAGTTATTTGAAGATTTTCACACATTTGATCCCTGTGACCTAAAAAGTGGGTGAAGGTCATTTTCTTTAACACGCATAGTTGCCCTTCACTCCAGTATGCTACAGTCCAAATATCTGAACGCTGACCTTTCTGGTTACTGAGAAGAAGTCAAAAATGTGTTCAAGACAGATTTATTTTGGTCTCGGGGACGACATTCTACAACATCTCTTCTCCACTTCATTGTGATGAGATATTGTCGCAAATGTCAGCCCTTGACTGAAATAAATCAGTCTAAAGCACATACAGATAATAACTGATTATAATATACAAAAGTATGGGATACATATAGGTAATGATTTATGTATGGTTTAAGGGGATTATACATATAGGTAAAGGTAAAGCTTCTGAATTTCAAACAAAACTTAAGTAATACTTGGTCACTAAATCAGTCAAAGCATTCACAGTTTAAGCTCATTCCTAACAGTGCAACCTTAGTTTAAAATGCATGGATGCAAATGAGTCACCATTATAAAACTTCTAATCAGGATGGAAACCAGCAACACTTTGGTCACATCCTTTCAGTCACATCCTCTCAGTCCCATCCTCTCAGTCACATCCTCGCCAGGTTTATGTTCACGATCACCCAAATGAAACTGGAGAAGTTTAAAATGTTTTACTATTTCTATCCCGATCACCTGAAATGTTGTTGCCAGGTAAACTGCAGGTATTGCAATGTGAGACTGAACTATAGCACAAGCTCACTTGTCTGCAGCATCACAAGCAATTTCTAGTAAAAGACAAACATATTTCCACTTACAAGTGGTGTACTTGTGTTGAGATCCTGTTGGGGTTTTAGAACGAGCATCAACCTTTGACCCCACATGTTTGCTTGGAACCTTCTGGTCAGTGACCTTCACATTTCCACTACCAGGTTTAGCATCAATTCCATACTTTTTCTTCTCAGAAGTAGCTGATGCCTGAAAAATTATTGCATTTTGTAGTATACTCAAAAACAGCAGGAACACTATGCTTAAAATCTGATCTTCAGACTCGATATCATACGTGACACTATTCTTAAAAACCAATAAATGAGCTGAATTCAATCCCTTCACCGAACCTTGATAATGTACAGTCAAGAAAGCACATTGTCAAACTATGTACCTAAGACAGACATCCTAGTCACACCAATGTCAGCTGCTAGGTATAACCTAGAGATACTGAGGATGTAAGACAGACATCCTAGTGATGTCAGTGTCAGCTGATAGGTATAACCTAGAGATACTGAGGATGTAAGACAGACATCCTAGTGATGTCAATGTCAGCTGACAGGTATAACCTAGAGATACTGAGGATGTAAGACAGACATCCTAGTGATGTCAGTGTCAGCTGATAGGTATAACCTAGAGATACTGAGGATGTAAGACAGACATCCTAGTGATGTCAGTGTCAGCTGATAGGTATAACCTAGAGATACTGAGGATGTAAGACAGACATCCTAGTGATGTCAATGTCAGCTGACAGGTATAACCTAGAGATACTGAGGATGTAAGACAGACATCCTAGTGATGTCAGTGTCAGCTGATAGGTATAACCTAGAGATACTGAGGATGTAAGACAGACATCCTAGTGATGTCAGTGTCAGCTGATATGTATAACCTAGAGATACTGAGGATGTAAGACAGACATTCTAGTCACACCAATGTCAGCTGCTAGGTAAGTGATGTCAATGTCAGCTGATAGGTATAACCTAGAGATACTGAGGATGTAAGACAGACATCCTAGTGATGTCAGTGTCAGCTGATAGGTATAACCTAGATATACTGAGGATGTAAGACAGACATTCTAGTGATGTCAATGTCAGCTGACAAGTATAACATAATGATACTGAGGATGTAAGACAGACATCCTAGTGATGTCAGTTTCAGCTGATAGGTATAACCTAGAGATACTGAGGAGGTAAGACAGACATCCTAGTGATGTCAATGTCAGCTGACAGGTATAACCTAGAGATACTGAGGATGTAAGACAGACATCCTAGTGATGTCAGTGTCAGCTGACAGGTATGACCTAGAGATACTGAGGATGTAAGACAGACATCCTAGTGATGTCAGTGTCAGCTGATAGGTATGACCTAGAGATACTGAGGATGTAAGACAGACATCCTAGTGATGTCAGTGTCAGCTGATAGGTATGACCTAGAGATACTGAGGATGTAAGACAGACATCCTAGTGATGTCAGTGTCAGCTGATAGGTATGACCTAGAGATACTGAGGATGTAAGACAGACATCCTAGTGATGTCAATGTCAGCTGACAGGTATAACCTAGAGATACTGAGGATGTAAGACAGACATCCTAGTGATGTCAATGTCAGCTGATAGGTATAACCAGAGATACTGAGGATGTAAGACAGACATCCTAGTGATGTCAATGTCAGCTGACAGGTATAACCTAGAGATACTGAGGATGTAAGACAGACATCCTAGTGATGTCAATGTCAGCTGATAGGTATAACCAGAGATACTGAGGATGTAAGACAGACATCCTAGTGATGTCAATGTCAGCTGATAGGTGTAACCAGAGATACGGAGGATGTAAGACAGACATCCTAGTGATGTCAATGTCAGCTGATAGGTATAACCAGAGATACTGAGGATGTAAGACAGACATCCTAGTGATGTCAATGTCAGCTGAAAGGTATAACGTAGAGATACTGAGGATGTAAGACAGACATCCTAGTGATGTCAATGTCAGCTGACAGGTATAACCTAGAGATACTGAGGATGTAAGACAGACATCCTAGTGATGTCAATGTCAGCTGATAGGTGTAACCAGAGATACGGAAGATGTAAGACAGACATCCTAGTGATGTCAATGTCAGCTGATAGGTATAACCAGAGATACTGAGGATGTAAGACAGACATCCTAGTGATGTCAATGTCAGCTGACAGGTATAACCTAGAGATACTGAGGATGTAAGACAGACATCCTAGTGATGTCAGTGTCAGCTGACAGGTATGACCTAGAGATACTGAGGATGTAAGACAGACATCCTAGTGATGTCAGTGTCAGCTGATAGGTATAACCTAGAGATACTGAGGATGTAAGACAGACATCCTAGTGATGTCAGTGTCAGCTGATAGGTATAACCTAGAGATACTGAGGATGTAAGACAGACATCCTAGTGATGTCAATGTCAGCTGACAGGTATAACCTAGAGATACTGAGGATGTAAGACAGACATCCTAGTGATGTCAATGTCAGCTGATAGGTGTAACCAGAGATACGGAGGATGTAAGACAGACATCCTAGTAACATCAAAGTCAGCTGATAGGTATAACCAGAGAAACTGAGGATGTAAGACAGACATCCTAGTGATGTCAATGTCAGCTGATAGGTATAACCAGAGATACTGAGGATGTAAGACAGACATCCTAGTAACATCAATGTCAGCTGATAGGTATAACCAGAGAAACTGAGGATGTAAGACAGACATCCTAGTGATGTCAATGTCAGCTGATAGGTATAACCAGAGATACTGAGGATGTAAGACAGACATCCTAGTGATGTCAATGTCAGCTGATAGGTATAACCAGAGATACGGAGGATGTAAGACAGACATCCTAGTAACATCAATGTCAGCTGACAGGTATAACCTAGAGCTAATGAGGATGTAAGACAGACATCCTAGTGATGTCAATGTCAGCTGATAGGTATAAGCAGAGATACTGAGGATGACTGCTGAAGAGATTTTATACAAATCAAATATGCCTGAAAAATTTAAAGTCTTTAAAATGGCTAAAAACCTTACTGTTCTTTGAGGTCTGTCCTCCACAGCACTATCAGAGGAACCATCTGCAACAATTAATGCATACATTATGACCACTCCAAATAAAAGGTAATTATAAAATAAGTGATTAACAGATGATTAAATCAATATCCTAAAATTTATTTCATTGTAATGTCAAAGGTCAAAACATAATGTCAGAGGTCACAACATAATGTCAGAGGTCACAACATTCTCAACTTCAAAAGGAAGGAGGCAAAAAAGGGTAAATAAGTGGGTGTAAAGTGGGGTACTGTGAGTATGGATAGGTAAGCAGTGTAATTTAAGAAAACCTAAGCTGTATATGGAGAGGAAATTAATCATACTCACCTGGTACCAATAAGTGGGTGTTGACATTAACCTAGTTTTACCTCAGTGTCAGGTGAGACAAATTTTACTGAGAGAGATCCCCCTGATGTGATTATCAGTAAGATAGTGTTTATCCTGTGAGTATATTGTGATTAATTCCCTCTCCATAAAGGTCACAGTGTTGTCATAAAAAACGATAAATCAGACATTATCATCACAATCCTATATACAGCACAGTCCTATATACACCACAATTGTGTCATCACAATCCTATATACACCACAGTCCTATATACACCACAATCCTGTCATCACAATCCTGTCATCACAATCCTATATACACCACAATCCTATATACACCACAATCCTGTCATCACAATCCTATATACAGCACAATCCTATATACACCACAATCATATATACACCACAATCCTATATACACCACAATCCTATATACAGCACAATCCTATATACACCACAATCCTATATACACCTCAATCGTGTCATCACAATCCTATATACACCACAATCCTATATACAGCACAATCCTATATACACCACAATCCTATATACACCACAATCCTATATACAGCACAATCCTATATACACCACAATCCTATATACACCTCAATCGTGTCATCACAATCCTATATACACCACAGTCCTATATACACCACAATCGTGTCATCACAATCCTATATACACCACAATCCTATATACACCACAATCCTATATACACCACAGTCCTATATACATCACAATCCTATATACACCACAATCCTATATACACCACAGTCCTATATACACCACAATCCTGTCATCACAATCCTATATACACCACAATCCTATATACACCACAATCGTGTCATCACAATCCTATATACACCACAATCCTATATACACCACAGTCCTATATACATCACAATCGTGTCATCACAATCCTATATACACCACAGTCCTATATACATCACAATCATGTCATCACAATCCTATATACAGCACAATCCTATATACACCACAATCTTATATACATCACAATCATGTCATCACAATCCTATATACACCACAGTCCTATATACATCACAATCGTGTCATCACAATCCTATATACACCACAGTCCTATATACATCACAATCGTGTCATCACAATCCTATATACACCACAGTCCTATATACATCACAATCGTGTCATCACAATCCTATATACACCACAGTCCTATATACATCACAATCGTGTCACCACAGTCCTATATACACCACAATCCTATATACATCACAATCATGTCATCACAATCCTATATACACCACAATCCTGTCATCACAATCCTATATACAGCACAGTCCTATATACATCACAATCCTATATACACCACAATCCTATATACACCACAATCATATATACACCACAGTCCTATATACACCACAATCGTGTCATCACAATCCTATATACAGCACAGTCCTGTCATCACAATCCTATATACACCACAATCCTGTCATCACAATCCTATATACACCACAATCCTATATACACCACAATCATGTCATCACAATCCTATATACACCACAGTCCTATATACACCACAATCCTGTCATCACAATCCTATATACACCACAGTCCTATATACACCACAATCCTATATACACCACAATCCTGTCATCACAATCCTATATACACCACAGTCCTATATACACCACAATCCTATATACATCACAATCATGTCATCACAATCCTATATACAGCACAGTCCTGTCATCACAATCCTATATACACCACAATCCTATATACACCACAATCATATATACACCACAGTCCTATATACACCACAATCCTATATACACCACAATCCTATATACACCACAGTCCTATATACACCACAATCCTGTCATCACAATCCTATATACACCACAATCCTATATACATCACAATCCTATATACACCACAATCCTATATACACCACAATCCTATATACATCACAGTCCTATATACACCACAATCCTGTCATCACAATCCTATATACACCACAATCCTATATACACCACAGTCCTATATACACCACAATCATATATACACCACAGTCCTATATACACCACAATCCTGTCATCACAATCCTATATACACCACAATCCTATATACACCACAGTCCTATATACACCACAATCCTATATACACCACAGTCATATATACACCACAATCCTGTCATCACAATCCTATATACACCACAATCCTATATACATCACAGTCCTATATACACCACAATCATATATACACCACAGTCCTATATACACCACAATCCTGTCATCACAATCCTATATACACCACAATCCTATATACACCACAGTCCTATATACACCACAATCCTATATACACCACAGTCCTATATACACCACAATCCTGTCATCACAATCCTATATACACCACAATCCTATATACATCACAATCCTGTCATCACAATCCTATATACACCACAATCCTATATACACCACAGTCCTATATACATCACAATCATGTCATCACAATCCTGTATACAGCACAGTCCTATATACATCACAATCCTATATACACCACAGTCCTATATACATCACAATCGTGTCATCACAATCCTATATACACCACAATCCTATATACACCACAATCATATATACACCACAATCCTGTCATCACAATCCTATATACACCACAGTCCTATATACATCACAATCATGTCATCACAATCCTATATACACCACAATCCTATATACATCACAATCTTATATACAGCACAATCCTATATACACCACAGTCCTATATACAGCACAATCGTGTCATCACAATCCTATATACACCACAGTCCTATATACATCACAATCGTGTCATCACAATCCTATATACACCACAGTCCTATATACATCACAATCGTGTCATCACAATCCTATATACACCACAATCCTATATACATCACAATCGTGTCATCACAATCCTATATACAGCACAGTCCTATATACATCACAATCCTGTCATCAAAATCCTATACACACCACAATCCTGCCATCACAATCCTATATACACCACAATCCTGTCATCACAACAATATTGTTATACACACAATCCCATTTATATTATTTACACTACATTACACCACAATCTTCTTAGATTCCATCTCCAGTCTAGATTGAACTTGGTTAAAATACTCTCATTCACATGGGAGAAGGACGACTGATATTGATTTTGATGCATATTGGGCTCTTTTTGTGGTTGTTTGCTCTCAGCCTGCATGAAAGGATTTGGGTGTGGAAGTGAGGCAAGGCACATCCCTGAGTATAATCAAAGGAAAATAAGGGTGGCCATCCCTTTATAGGAGAATGAATTCAAAGTGATTCCTTTAGGTTCCATTTTGAGCCTCTCTAGGAGGAGAACTTCTGACCTTTCCTCATCCATTATAGAGACCAGTCTTGGCCAATATCAATCACATTTCACAATTCTGTTAAAGTGCCTTAATATTTTATTTTCATATTATTAGGGATTTTATACCATCAAACTACGTACTCATAATGTGTTTTCATAATTTAAAACATTTTCTATTTTCATATTTTCCCATGTCTATTAATCAAGTAACGTGCCACTTGTTTTTTGTCAACTTTGCTTGTAAGAAACTAGCAACATTATAGAAACCAGTAAATAATTGAAAATTTGGCTTTGAACTTGACATTTGACCTGACAACACTGACAATTACATCATATGATTTTCAAATCAATATATCTCCCAAGGGTTTTAAACTGATAAACTGGAGGGAATGTTACTACACCAACTGATCCCTGAGGGAAACCCACCATTGTTTGATCTATATATGCTCTTGAAAGTTTGAAAGCCTGTTTTTGCTCTTAATGACAAAGACATTTAAAAATTCCTTCACAGAAATAGCAATGATTATCTTTACCTGCCAATTATCAAAATGGCCTCCTGGAAGCCATTTTGTTTTTCTGATCAGTCCCAAACTCACAGGAACCTATATATAAAATCTGAGTAAGATCTATAACGTAATTCTCAAAAAATAGTGATTACAAACTTTAAAAGTTAAAATACAAGATGGCCACCTGTCAGCCATTTTGTTTTTTTGATCACCCCCAAAATCAGTGGGCACAACAAGGGACCAAGGGGAACCTACATATGAAATTTAAGAAAGATCCATCCAGTACTTCTCAAGAAATAGCAATAACAAAAATTGTTTACGGACGGATGGACAATGGACAAACAGCAGACCACGGACGCAGACCGATTTGAATAGCCCACCATCTGATGATGATGGACTGAAAATGCACTATTTTGAAACTTTGGCATAGGGGTGAAGCTCATCATGATGTAATTTTAGCTCACAAAGCCTTGCCTGTAGATGATGCAGGTATGTTTTCAAGTTTCATCAATATATCTCAAATTGTTCATAAGCTATATCCCAGAGCGACCGAAAAAAATACTTCTCTGACCTTTGACCTTGAAGTGACCATATTCCGGCACACTTCATATGACTTGGGTATGATGCAGTTATACTTGAAGTTCAATCAAATTGTCATTAAAAGTCACGGCCAGGGCAAACACATATTACAAAACAGAACATGAAGAACCAGTTCTACGTTGAGATGTAGAAAAGACATAATACAATGTAAATCCCCTTAGACTTTCGCGTAGGAAACCTGAGCTTCTAAAGATTATACCTCTTATACCTTCAAAGTATGGTGTTTCAGTCATA